CACAGCCCAGAAGACCCACACCAGCCATCGTATTCCGGCTGTGAAAGCCTTCGACAATACATTGTCAAGTTTACATTACAGTGCAGCTAATGTAACATAATTTTGATAGATTTTGCTCTAACTTCATAAGCATGTTAATAATAAAAGGCAATAAAAGTGTAAAGGAACAGTAGAGTCCATCTTTAAGAATGGGTCCAGTTGCAGAAAAAATTATTACTACTGATTAGAGAAGTGATTTGAAACATGGAATTTACTGTATTACTGGACAAAACAAGAATTACCCTCCATTAAAATTCTGTATTTTAATGGTCTCCGGTTCCAAAACAAAAACATCTACTCCATAGGTCAAAGATATATTTTAAATTTATACCCACCATTAATTTATAATTTGAACAGGTTCCTTGGAATAACTTGTTATAACTGTTAATGTTTCTGTTTTTAACAACTGGATTAGGATTTCCATTCCATTTTATATTCACTTTTTAAAATGCCTCAGGAATCACATATACTCATTAAACAGTTCAGCTTCATAACAGTATGTAAATATGTTCCTTTGTTTCTGTTTTGACCCAGGGAAAATACATTATTACATGAAGTGCATAAATAACCTTTTAATTTAGGTTTCAGGTTGGGACATAGTACAGAGATAACATTGGTCATGTTTGTTGAAGACCTGTGGGTTTTTTTTTCCTGAGATTTAGTGGCTGCCCCACTCCAAAATGATTCTAGGCAGCTTACATCAGGGAAAAACAACAAAGGCAACAAGAAAAACATCAAGAAAATTTGGATTGGGATGATGATACCATCCTGATCCTCCTTGATCACGCAGTGGCTTTTAATCCTATTAACAATGCTATTCTTTTGGACTGACTGTGGGGAAGCGGGAGGCACAATTTTACAGCAGTTCTCTTCTTTTCTGCATAACCAGTGCTAGCTGGTGTTGGTTGGAGAGGATAGATTGAGCTTGAAGCCCTATGATATGGGAGTATCTCAGGGCTCAATGTTCTCTCCCCTCCTGTTCAACATCTATATGAGTCCGCTGGGGGAGATATTCCATCAGCTTGGGTCAAGCAACTTCAGCATGCTGATGATACTCAGTTGTACATTTAAGAAACACTTAAGAACTCATATGTGTGATAGAACCCTGCTATTTGAGGGACTACCTGTTTCCAATAATGTTTGCCTGTCCTGTTTTCCAATAGGGTTGGTTAGCTTTGAGTTCCATCAGATAAGCTATGTATCTAGTGAGACTCAGGAAGTGGGCCTTCTCTGCTGCTTCACCTGCCTTTTGGAAAATCATCCATATGGCCTCTATTCAGCCCATCTTTATGTGTTCCTTAAAAACCTGGCTTTTCCTTTATGTCTTGGGTTAAAATGGATCGATGGACTCATGAGATTACCAGGGGTTTGGACAGATAGTTTTGATCCACTGAATGGTCTCTGTTTTACGAATGTCATAAATTTGTCATTTATATGGCACTGTTTTTTAACTTCATGAAACCGAGTTGTTTGGAGTGGGGTAGCTTAGAAACATAAATAAATGAACTTCATAAGATCACCTGAACAAATAATGTTAAGGATTAATTCTTAAATGTCTGTTAAATTAAAAAAAATGTAGCTATGCAGAATTACAGTGTTCTGAATCCTAACCATACATGCTGGCTCAACATACCCTTCAGTGACAGGCTTACCCTTCAGTAAGGCTTGTTGCAAACTACTGTTATATCAATGAATACTAAATAAGTCTGATATATAATTAATATATGGTAAGCAGTTTTGATTCATGTACCAGTTCTAAATGTAAATTTCAACAAACCTCCACACTTCTAGCACATATCAAGATGATTCTGTTTCAGATATTGCTCAAAAGATTATTACCTTCACAAGACATGCAGGGCCTTTTTCTCCTGGGAGTGGAAAATTTAGATCTAGTGGAGATGAGCAGGAAATCATCTGATGCCTTGCAGAAGCTTCTGTTTCTAATCGCTTTGGCTCTCCACTCCCTTGGATATCAGCTACATTTCCTAGAATTTTAAAGAAATAGTTTCTACTACCTTGAAACACATAATTTGAAATTAAAACTTCTTGTTGCTTTTGAAAGAAGATTTAGATCATGCTGAATTGCATGTTGCAAAAACTGGAGCTTAGATTCCTTTCAGAATAATTATTCTCCAAAGTATTTTAATTTACAAAATGGGCATAAAACCCTAGATCAAACCAAGCAAATGAGCGTTCTCTTCAGAAAGGGTAGGGCTTAAGCAAGCAGTAGGAATGGCTAGAAGCAAGAGGAGAAAGCTGATTTTGTTTGTTTCTCTTTCTTATACTTTCTTTTCATTTTCCCTGACCTCAACATCTGGCAGCAGTGGACCAGAATAAAGAGCTTATCTCTGGACTCTAATTATTTATGAAGTGCTTTTAAAATTAGGCTAGAAGTACAAAAACAGAGAGGACTCTGCAAATGGCCCATCTCTGATCTAACTCAGCATTCCTTTTTCAACAACTGCCAGCCAAATAAAGGGAATCACAACGTTCACAACCCTCTTCATTAGTTTTCTGCTGTATCTGATATTCAGTTACATACTGTCCTACTTATTTCACATCTAACAATCTATCATCTCTCCATGAATTTGCCTAATTTAACTCTTGCTCCTTCTACAATCCAGAATCATCCTTGTTTTTCAAGAATACAGTATTTGCAAATGCTGGTTTGTGAATCATATAACTGCAGCTACAAACTGAGCCATGGAGAACACATCAAGAACTTCAGACCAATAGTGTATTTAAACTAGAGTCTTGCTCTTTTGAGACTATCCCTGAACCCATCTAATTATTTCAAAAACCAGATAAGGTAAATCAACATGGTATATAAAATCATTTTCTAAAATTAAGCCAACAATGCATATATCACTTCAGTGCAAATGGATGCACTAAAATACTAATTCTGAAAAATAAATGACTTTCAAGAGAAAAACAACACTATCTCAGCTGATACCCAGGTGCTGCTCTCTCTGTTTTGATGGATGCAACTCCATGTCTTCATCATCCTCGTAACTCCTCTTGTGGCGACTTGGTGTGTAGGATGTTGATGGACAAACTCGAGCTTGACTTGCACTATTATAAGCGTAAGTTTTAAGTTAAGGACAAGATCATTCTGATAGCAAGAATAAACTAATATGGAAATTTAATTGTATATAAACATTTAATTTAAAGTTCAGACAACACTATCCTTTCCCAAGATGTACATGAAGGAAAAGATAATAGTTGTTTGTAAGTTAACTATATCATGTAATGTTTCATATTCTTACAGAATTTTTAAATAGTTTTGTAGAAATATGGCCTGGCGCAATATGGTTCATGGGGTCACGAAGAGTCGGACATGACTTAATGACTAAACAACAACAAGAAATATTGAAGAATGAATGTGGGCAAATTAAAAAAGAATGCTAGACAAGTGGTAGCAGACTATATGCCAATAAGGAAGGAGCATGATTTGACTTACAATATCAGCTCTTTCATCCTTAAATGTTATTGTATTTATTTAAGAAACGTACATGGCTGCCTATCTTATATATACAACCCTGGTCAGGTAACAACCTGTATCAAAGAAATATAGAAACAGTTAAAATATAATATCATAACTAAGGTACCATACTGTCATCAGTTTAGGGATGCTGCACCATCAAAATTCCATATTCAAAAAGTAATTAAATTGCTAAACTGCTTAATACATGCTCATTTCTCTACAAATTACCTCCTTTCTACCTTATCACAATTCTTTACCACTTGACACAGGGAAATATTATCTAATTATCACAAACAACTTGGAAGAGATGCTTTCTATCTCAACTCATGCACATTATCAAAACAAACAAACAAACAAACAAGCCTGTCCCAAAACCTGTTTCCTTTATTAATTGCCAAGCTAATTATATATAAAGGCACATTTCAGCAAATCCTGATCCTGCTCTAGTTAAGAAAAACTCCTTAAAAAGTTACCTTTATTAATAAAACGGCTTCTTAAATTAGCCATTTTGTTCAGCATCCATAGCTCTTGTTGGTAGAGTCAAAAGGTAAATTCTGAAGTTTAAACTTTCATCTGGCCACTTCAATTTATCCCTCATAAGTCTAATTAGAATTACTTAAGATATTTTTACCACCATGCCTGATGAGTAATTTCACTGGTCACTCATTCCAAACTGTCCCTTCCGAACATCAATCAATATTATATTTTATTAGCCAATAAATCATTGTTCTTCAGTACTTAAAATATCTAATTTTCAGGACGCATTAATCCAACAGTATTTTAAACTATTCAGAATTTAACAATACATGGAAGGAGTAATGCCAGACGTACAAGTTGAATTGAGAAGGAACAGGGGCACCCCAAGTCACAATGGTAACACATGAATGATAATGGAAGAGGGAAAAAGAGCTCTACAAATGTCTATTTCTTCTTATTGATTATCTAAACGGTCTTGACTATGTACACCAAAACAAATTGTGGATACTGCTTAACAACTCTGGTGTACGGCCACCTTGTCTACCTGTTGAAGAACTGTATGGTGACCAGGAAGCAACAAGAGTATGGAACATGCCTCAAAAGTAGAAAGAAAGGCAGTATAACCTTATTTAACGTGTATGTAGAATATGTCGTGAGACACAGAAATTGGAATTCAACTGGCATCAGCAAATTAAAATGGACTTAAATTGGACACTTTCGGTTAGAAGATCATAGAGTTTACTACTGAAGACATGAAAAACAAAGAAGGAAGGATACAATAAAGTCAGTACTTGGGTACAATGCAGTTAATGACCAAATACTATCAATAAGGCTTTGCAGGCAACCGCTTTATATGATGATTATCCAAGTTTATGCTCCAACCACTGATGTAAAAGAGGCGGTGGCTAACAAGTTTTATGGTCAAGTTCAATCTAAAATTGACAGAACATGCAAGCAAGATGTGCTACTTATGGATTGACTATTATTAGTAAAGGAACCAGCAGTCAAGAAATATGCCACAGACACTTGTTAGGGAAACAACGAAGGCTTTGGAAAACCATCCTGCTGGTGCTTTGAAGAGCCTTGAAGACCTGACTCTTCGCCCAGGCCTTTGGTGAGGGTGAATGAAGTCCTTTTGGGATGTGTGGGTTTATTTCTTTTTTGTTCCAGTCTGGTTTATGTTTTCTTTGCCATCTTGTATTCCTTTATTCTGTTTTTTTATTACTTGTGAACTGCCCAAAGTAGTTGGAAGTTGGGTGGCATAGAAATTTAATAAATAAATAAATAAGATATTCAGATGCCATACCATGTCTATATCTACAAAGATCAGAATTCTGCAGGCAATGTTTCCTCTATGGAAGCAAATACTGGACTTTGAAGAAGCAGGATAGAAAGAGTACTCTTTTTGGAGTTGTTGGAGAATACCATAGATAACCAAGAAAATAAATGAATGGATCATAGAACAAATCAGTCCAGAGTTCTCATTTGAGGCACAAATGACAAGGCTCAAATTATCATATTTTAGACACTTCATGCAAAGACCTAGCTGCCCTAAGCATATGGACTTCTTATGCTGGGAAAAGTGGAAGAAAAGAGAAGAAACCGACCAGCAGCAAGGTGGATGGACTCAATTACAGTGGCAATAGGTGCATCACTGGAAAATCTGAAGGGCCAGGTTGGGAACAGACTATCCTAGAGAAAGTCTATCTCAGTGGTCACTAAGAGTTGACACCAACCTGATGACATATAATCCAGCAACCAACCAACCAGTCAATATTTTTCTCTCAAGTGTTCAAGGGCTTGCATTACTAGCATTACCACTACCATTATACTTTTTTATACACCAGCACACAATAAGCTACAAAGGATATTTCTTTTACCCATGCTGATTCTCCTGGCACTGGAACACAGTAAAAAGTCTGTCTATCTGCAGTTACTATTTGTTTAGGATTTAAATCTATTTCTTGATGAGGCTAGAAGAAGAGATGTTATACATCATTAGCATGCTATAAAAAGAAAAATACTGTAAAGCTGTTATAAAAATGGAATACATGTGAAATTTTTAAAGGCAAATATTCTTAAAATAAATGTACAATTAAATGTTCTAGAAAATAATGTTTATTCTAAGGAATTACAAGGAATGAACTCTATTCTATGTGGATCAAATAGATTCTATTCTTCCAATAACAACTTTTTTGACATATATAAAAAAATGAAAATGCTACTTCTGGTTTTCTATAATATAGCAACAACAGCATAGTACTAGTTTGAACTGTATCATTTGAAACATGAAATTTCTTTGTTGACACATTATTAAAATACCTACAGCTATAAAAGTTGATTTTATTTTGCAACTGTATTTCTCATCCTATTATGAATATTAGAAAGCAATTTATAGTAACTTATAGTAATCAAGCAGAGGCACTAGTGAAGTGTATGGAGCCAAATTTAAATTAAATCCCAGTCTACACAACTTATATTAATATATACAAATAATCAATCCATTTTCCAAGTGTTGTTTTTTATGTCTTCAATGCAGCGCCAAATATCTACGCAAGAAATATAAACATATAAATAGGCATGGGTGACCTGAAAACAAGTTTTACAAGACAACCATGTGGAAGAGATCCCAGAACACTCCTGAGCAACAGAAGTAGAATATATGCTTGGAAAGAGGAGGAACATCTCAAAAAAGGGTAATAACTGACATAGAGAACTCCTGCATAAGGAATACAACAGATTGTTAAATGTATTTATTTACTATAACTTGTATGCTGCCTCTGTCTTGGACTTATTATTCAATCTCAAAAGTGTTCCAAACATTGTAAATGTTTAAATGACAATGCTGAAAATATACATTCATATAAAAAAAAAATCTTAAAAATTCATTCTAGTGTTTGCATAGGTGTAAGTCTACTTCACATATCTGATAAAGCAGGGTTTTGCTTATGAAAGTAAAAATGTGATCTAAAATTGTTTTTGGAAACAGACTAATGTTGCTCATCTTCTAGAGTGTAGACCCAAACAATACTTTTGTATGAAAAAAGGAAAATACTAGAGGCTATACTGTCAAAACCCGCTGACACTGGCATCACTGACTTATATATTCAAAATAGGAGAGAGGCACAGTCTCTGCAAAAACATGTTTAGGAGGACTAGTTTTTGTCACTGATTCAATAAAGTAAATGAGGATATTTCAGTGCAAATGAATGTTCAATTATATTGTTTTATTCAAAAAGAAGCACAAGAGAAGGGTGGGGAAGATATATACTCTTTTCCCTTTATTAAAAAGTAAACCATATTTGATGGTATGTGATTTATTATTACAAGAACTTGTATTCCTCTCCATTTCTTGACACTCTGAGTTGCTTACAGTATTAGTATCAGAAGCTTGAAGACAAAAATCAATTAACAATTATAATCAAAAAGTCCAATGCACCACCATTTGGAGTAGCATGATCATATTCATCTCCAAATGCCTTTTTGAAAACCCATGTTTTCACAGTTCTCCAAAAACGTATCCATAGAATCCAGTGAAAGATAAAATAAGAGAAAGAAAATGATAAATACTAAACTAGCTTAAATGCATCGCCGTAATTCCTATAGCTGGACTTACCCCACATTCTGCTACATCTCTATATTTTCCAAAATGCATAACCTGTTAAAAATAGAAAACATAAAATCACTACTGTATTCTATATGACTTCTTACTATGCTCCTTTTGGGGAGTTTTGTGGGGAGGTTTTCTTTTCTTTTCTTTTTTTTACTATTTACTGTTACTTCCTCACAGTTCTTTATCTTTACTATGAATGTAGTGGTTCTACTCTCTTTCAAGCTCAATAATTTCTTTTCTAATGTTTCATTCTAGAAAAGCTGAAGGCTAAGATTTATATTTTCCTGGTTCCAGGCAAAGCATCCGTTCAATATATATGAGCAGAATTGCTATGGAACTGTTTATCAGTCAGACATAGATTGTTGGTATTTCACTTAAGAATATACACAGAAAAAAACTTTTAAGATGTCCTTTATTTCATGTGATACTGTTACAAAAGAGATACTGGTTGTTCCTGGAACAGTTCTATGTCACCTGGAATAAAAAGGAAATGATTTGCAAAAGGAAATGGACCTAGTGTAGAGATGGACAACCTTTTGGTGGGCAAGACCACACTTAACTTTGGGGGGAGGATAGGCTCAGAAAGTGGATAAGGACACAACACAAATATGATAGTCCTGGAATATTTTTGATAGAGTTTGAGGGTTTGGTTTTTGTTGTGTTACTATTTTATACTACAGGTTTAATTCATCCTAAGCAACAATTTAGGTAAAATTGCTGTCAGTTTTCAACAATCACATTGACAGGAACTCCAAGGAACAACATGGGTGGGTGTGAATGTAGGTAGTCAGAACCACAGTGAAAAAACCCACTTACACGTGATTTAGTAACTGTGTCAACAGTTTCATAAACATTCATATAAAATTCAGGATCAAACATATCTTGAACCATACAGCGAAATTTAACTAGGCTATTGGGCTTCAGATAATGTAGAGGGACATCATTCAATGATGGTACCTGTAAAAAAAAAAATCAATGATTATGAGCTTCATGAGGCAATCAGAATTCTATAACTTTCTTTTTAATGATTATTAATTTAATTATATCTTAATTTATGTAAGTCTGAAAACCCAATATTTACATAGAAAGGCTGACAGAATTTACACTGGTTGCTTAAAAATTTTCTCAGTAATCACTGAAATAAATGTGATTTAATTTAGTCATGCTTTGAGATGCAGTGAATTAACTAAATCTACTCTATGTACAATTCATTCTATTTTTTTTGAAATGCAACAATCTCAGTCACTTATTTGACTCTAACCCTAAATTACTAGAAACTTTTTCAATTTATTTTATAATCTCTTTTAGCACTATTGTATGTATAAAGTTATTCAATGCAATGCTATCAAAGTTACCAAAGATTTTGAAACCCATCATCAAATAACTTAAGTTTTCATAAGTTAATATAGCCTTACCCAGTTAGTTGCATTATTTTCTTTTAATTTCTCTTTGAAGTATTCCGTTACTTTTCCCTCCCATTCAGGATTTGGACTATTCTGAGCTAAACAAGACATAAACCAAATCAAACTATTTTAGTACAATACATTTAAAATTTTACTTTGCCAACACAGTATCTATTATTCAATAACTAATGAACAAATAGCACTTTGGCTTTTTTTTTCTTAAGTAAAAAGAAAACAAAAGATCAAAACCTTCCTGGACTAAATAATTTTGATATGTGCAAGATTAGCTGCAATTCTGACTTTTTCAGATAACAAACAAATATGTTACAGGTTATAAGCAGTATGCTGCAGGGTTGTGCAAAGCCTTCACAAGTATGTTTGCATGCGTGAGGAACCTTCTCAAAGCATTAAAGCAGACATATTTTAGAAGGCTTCTGTGGCAGCTTTGAAGGGTGTTCTCTGCACAGGCAACATTTCTACTGGGACAACTTCTGAAGTAGCTGCATCAACCTTCCAAAGGGTGCAGCTGCTTGGACTTCTACTTGGAAGAAACAGTGAATTGAAGATGCTATGCTAAAAGCAGAGCCAACAACCACAGTAGAATGAAGAGCCGGTGAGTAGACTGCCTCTTCGTAATTCCTCTCTGGACAAGGAGAGGACTTGAGATCACTCACAAATGCTCCAAACAGTTGTTCCTCGCGAGGAGACTGCAAGACAGCAGTCTCCAGAAGTTAAGAGCTCTGGAAGATGAGGGAATAGCCATCTTGCTCAAACCACGGTCAGTGCCTTTAAGAATGCTGGGTTCGCATACTTCCTTTTCTAATCACTTTTGGAAATTGCTTGTTAATTGCTTTTTTGCTA